AACATTGGAAAACTGACTTAATGACAAATGCAGAAAAAGAATTGCCCCCAAATTACTGCTAATAGTTAAAAATAAAACATATATTCTTTGTAAATGGATGCACATATAAGTATTGATATGCACTGTCAAATAACTGGTTGTGTTCCACATATTGCTGTATATCAACTCAGTGAAGACTGCATTTACCATCCTGCAGAAACACCCATCACTCTCAGGCCTCACTTCACAATCAACTCAGTGAAGACTGCATTTACCATCCTGCAGAAACACCCATCACTCTCAGGCCTCACTTCACAATCAACTCAGTGAAGACTGCATTTCCCATCCTGCAGAAACACCCATCACTCTCAGGCCTCACTTCACAATCAACTCAGTGAAGACTGCATTTACCATCCTGCAGAAACACCCATCACTCTCAGGCCTCACTTCATAATCAACTCAGTGAAGACTGCATTTACCATCCTGCAGAAACACCCATCACTCTCAGGCCTCACTTCACAATCAACTCAGTGAAGACTGCATTTACCATCCTGCAGATACACCCATCACTCTCAGGCCTCACTTCACAATCAACTCAGTGAAGACTGCATTTACCATCCTGCAGAAACACCCATCACTCTCAGGCCTCACTTCACAATCAACTCAGTGAAGACTGCATTTACCATCCTGCAGAAACACCCATCACTCTCAGGTACTGACTGAAGCTTGGAAGATACTCCACCTCCCGTATTACTGGATTGCTACAAAATTCTCATGTGTTACTATAGAGTTGTTACAATTAATACCTGTAGTTTGCCACTGCAATGTTATGTGCATACAGTGTGTACCACTGTCATTTAATGTTTCTGACCAATATTTCAGGTAGACAGTTATTAATATTTTGGGTGATAGAATTTGGTTGCTAAACTTTTCAATAGTTTATAACACATGCCTACTCTGCCCCCTCTCACACTCTCCTTTTCCCCTCCCCAGTCGTAAATACCTTCATATGACTGTTCTATCTCTATTCCTCAGGCCTCACTTCACAATCAACTCAGTGAAGACTGCATTTTTTTCTACCCACCCATGCTCCTCCAGCAGTTTGAGATTCTCACCCAATTACCTCTTCATTCCCCTAACATCTTAACAATAGCTGCTTCTCTGTTAACTCTTTCAGCCATCACCTCCAAACTTCCCCTGCTACCTCTTGTCTCAAATCCCCATGGTATCCTTTAGATTGTAAGCTCACGGGCCATCTAGCTAAGCACTTTGTATAAAAGAGCTCCAATGGCTAGATATCAGCTTACGGGCAGGGCTCTCTTACCTCTTGTATTTGTTTGTGTATATTGTACGTTTCTCAACTAATTGTACAGCGCTGCGGAATCTGTGTGCACTTTATAAATAGCAATAATAATAATAATAATAATAATAATAATATCCAAAAAGGGAGATTATCACCCAAATAGTGATTTCAAAAAGAAATCTTATAGACAATTCAAATGATGTAATAGACAGAAAAGATGGAGCATCAATTTGGTGCATATAGTTAACAGAATATACACCAAATGTTATTGACAAATAAAGAATAATAATGAATTGTCCCAAAATAACTGCTGATGGATGAAAAATAAGTCATATATTCTTTGTTTAGGAATGTATGTATAGGTATTCATATGCACAGTCAAATGACTGGTAGTGTTCCTCAGATTACTGGATATCCCAAAAATGGATTATAGCCTAAATAGTGGTTTTAGAAGAAATCTTATGCATCATTATTTCTGGAGTCTGAGATTTGCTTGACAGTTTATAAAATATATATACACAGATAACAATAGAAATTCACTCTTTTATAGTTGGGGAAGAAACACCAATCTGACAATCAGCCATGTAAGTATGCTGTGCTAGAGTATGCCTGCCTTACACCTTCCTTAGTGAGCTATATTATAGCTCATTGTAAAGAGCTTACAGCTCCAACATAGACGATCCAATAAGAAGTTTCTGGGGAAGAAGGGAGGGCATGCAAGGACTGCAGACAATAGGTCTTCAGCTTTTACAAGATGTCCTTTCCAAATACCCCAGAAAAGCATGCAGAAAAAAAAAAACATTTTTGTTTTTTTGCAGGTAAATCTACTAAATTATTCTTTAATATGGATTGTAAAACATAATACTCTTCCCTAGATCCATAAATATACCTATGGTTCTTTAATATCCTATATTCTTCTGAGTGAGTTTTTCAATTAATTCAGTTCATCCAATTGGTGAGATAATACATCTATATTTTTAAATGATGTCATATTTGAAATATGGATGACTTCCATCTAATTTTTGTCTTATTCTTTGTGCTCCATCCTTGAATTTCAGAGCCTATTGACTAACAATATAGCAAATCTGTTTGAGGCAATAATGTGACCGGCTAAATTCATTACTGTAAAATGTGAACTATTAAGGTTTTGCACAGGAGCTACATGCCTGATGAAATCTTTTCCTCTACTTTTCCAGTTTTGACAGTAATTATCAATTGATTTTGTAGTGGAACTACCATCCTTGCTGCAACACAATGCCATTATAGGAGTGATTGATTGCTTAACCAATAGTTTCTATTTTATTCCTGACGGAAGGCTTCCAACTGCAAGTAAAACCACTTGAGAATTTACCCAATTTGATGCCATGTCTGTTTCACACTAGTGCACAACTCATATAATTATTATTTTGAGCATTGTATCAAATATATATATATATATATATATATATATATATATTTTCATATTTAAATTCTTATTACATTTTTTTCAAATTTACAAAATGATTCCACATTTTACATTTTACAGTCTGCAGTCTGTTAGACCATGTAAACAAATTCACAAGCAATTTATGTCATTCTTATATAGTCAAATCAGTCGTAACCCACGACAGTGACTAAGCATTAAATTCCAACGCTTGCATAACCTAAATCTTATTTTGGTTTGTTGAGTGTTAATCCCTCCTAACAATATGTATAATCTAGTTAGTGTTGGTTTTAAACAAACTGCATACACAGCAATTAGCATATCATAACTTAAAATATGACCATAAATCTAATTTACATAAAAGAAAGAAGAGCAAAAAAAAAGGTTACTTTGATAATCAATGCCTCAATAATTTTACAGTCCCATTTGTTTGTAACAACCTATCTAAACACCTATATTAGTGCTCTAATGCTGCCAAGGCCCCTCTCAATGTAAGGACTTTGGTAAAAACTAATTATCACCATTTATGAAATCCGACTGATTTCCACTCACTTCCACCCCACCCAGATTTTTTCATAGATACCTTGTTTGCCCATTATCCTGCATGCCATCTCCTCGTAGATTTTAGTATTGGAAATCGTTTCCCTTATTGTGCATAAAGATGGCACTTGTGTGGTTTTCCTTAATCTAGCTATAGCATTTTCTGTGCCCATTAAAATATCTATAATCATCGCAGTTTCCTTCATAAGTATTCCCTCTGGCATAATGTGTAACAAATATATTTGTGGTTGTAGGGGCACCAATATATTTGTGACATTAAATATCAATTGTTGAATATGTTTCCACAGGATCATAATCGCTTTGCAATACCAGAACGTACAAAAGAGCTGGTTTTGTACACCCAAAGAAAGGCTACAACAATACTAGAAGCATACTTGCATGTCTCACTGTATGTGGATTTATCTGCCATGACTATGGCCAGGAGGAGATACTTCCCAAATGTTATCAAATGTCTATGAAACAATAATGTTGCCTACAGATATGGTTTTCTGCCAAAATTGCTGATCTTGAGGAATGGCGTTATGACGAAGATTGAAAACCCAGAGGATGGATTACAAGTGCTGTGCATGTGAGGCCTGCCAGAAGCCTCTTCAGAAACGGCAGTTAGGACATCCTTGAAAAAGATGACACCGGAATGGACGACAGTGTGGAAGACACATTTGGTGGAAACTCAGTGAGAATGACTGGGGCAGGCTCAATAATGGATGAATGTGCAGTGGTTATGAATTGGACTTGAATTAAGGCAGAGCAAGAGCATTATAGGGCCAATGAATGCACCAAACTGGGTTTCATGAGTAATTGAACACAGAGAAAAATGGGGGAGAGGGAGTGTATTTGCTGTTTTAGGGGTTTAATACCCCAGTTACAAATATTGGTTGTTGATAGATTGGGCACAGAACAAAAAAGGTGGGGTGGGGGGAAAGGGGGAAAAAATAGCTAAAAATCCACACACAAAAACAGCTAAAATTCCCCCTTAAAATGTCATAAAAGTTCATCTAAAATACACTTCTTTTCACTTCACTAATACAAATAATGGTTAAAATACATTTTCAGATCATAAAGTAAAGAATTGCATTATATAAAACCAGGTTAAAATATTTCTAGTTTAAATGTAAATGTGCAAATTTTACACCTCAGTTAATGTGCAAGTAATTAATTAAAAACATTTATTTTTTTATTATTTAGGGTGCTATACTTGGTAAAACAGATGGTTTTGGAATATGTAAGAAATTGCTGGAGTTACACATCCTTTTAATGTTTGCTTTGCCCTGGGCACTGATGCGTTATAAAACAGTTTTACATTAATTAGCCTTCTTTATGCATGAGGTCAAGAATGGCAGGATATCTGATGGTACATGATAAATGCTTTTTATAATCAGCAATCATTAGATTTTTAGATATAATTATTTAAACATTAGAACGGTTTAGTTTTATCTATTAAAATTATTGCCTGTAAGAATATTCATATGCTTGTAACTAAGCCAGTGAAAAAAATATGAAAGGTCTGCTGACAGTCTTTCAATATTGTTTCACTGCATCCATTTTCTCATGCTATAAGATATTTGCAGGCTTTAATTTTTCAATCACTTGCAAGTCAAAGTTGGTTAACTAATGCAATCATACAGTAAGTAAATGCGACCCAGAATTTGAATTAACCATTTCCAGGATTTAAAAAAATGATTTCCATGGTTAGATGTAGGTGTTGGTACATAGTATGGCATTAATTGTATGAATCTGAGTATTAGTAGTACTTGTTCTCAATGGTGCAGTATTGTGATGAGAAGTAATGTTGTGTGAGTTGTGTCAATAGATCCAGACTGTTGCGTGGATTTAGTAGACTATAATCTATGTATGTTAGGTAGCTGTATCTCGTTATATAAAACAATATGTGCAGCTTTTTAGAAATTGCCTCATCTGTAGAGTGTAATATGAAACTAGCGTTAGATCCACAAAACAAAAGATCTATCTGTGGAGAAACTTTGTATTTAATCATATAATATTACTATAGCATGTTTTGACTGAAACTACATTAAATGCGCTGTTTTGGCAGGCCCAATCTCAATATTAGTTCTAATTCAGAAAAAAAAGTTTCAGAGTTTGTTTTTCTTGTAACACACTATGTGGAAAAAGGGGAGAAATTTACCACTACAATTAACTGTAACAATACAACAATGTAATATGCTGTAATAATAAAACAATCTGTAGTGGTTTTGATGGAGAATCTGCATGGACTCATTAGAAAGGTTGAAAGAAAACAAGAGTTATCATCCATCAAATGGAAACATTGATGGAGGGATACCAGTTTGATTGGAGAAAGTAATTTCTTTCTTATTTAGGAATTCATTTGACCAAGAACCTGCCAAACATGCATTTATTTGACCACACCAAGTTGTGTCCAGAACTTAAAAAATAGTTGGAAAGATGGTCTGAACCAGTTGTCCTGGTTGGGGAGAATAGCTTCTATCAAAATGAATATTCTCCCTAAAGTCCTATATTTTATAAGATCCATAACTCTAACTGTTCACTTGTCTTTTTTAAGAAGATACATTTAGATAGTCTTGAATTTATCTGGGGGAACAGCATGTGCAGAATTAAGTTAGTGGCTCTACAGAACATGAAGGGTTGGGGAGGACTGAGGGTGCCTGATTAAAAAAAAAATACTATTATGCGGCAGATGCTATTAAATTTAATTTAGATTCACATAAACCAAGATGGTTAGAAATGGAAGCAGAAAAATTACACCCATAATCTATTAAATATTTTGACTCCCTATTTCTAAAAGACCTAAGTTATCTACAATGTTTCCGTCAATGAAAATCTCATTAAAAGCTTGGGATGTATTGTTTAAAATCCAACTTGTCTAGATCATGAGCTATGCCTAAATCATTATTATCTACAAATAGATTTGACTGATTGGTGCTCCAAATTAGTTTGAAAATTTTAAAATGAAATATGATTTGGATTATAGTTGCCCCCTCTCCCCCTCCCCGGTACTCTGCAATCAGTAAGCTCCTACAAGAGCATTTTGACATCCCCAAGCCTGATCACAAATTTGAAAAAGTAAACATTTCAAACTTTGAAAATATGATTATATTTTAGCCTGGGGAAATGATTTGGGTCTGCAATGGGACCTGGAGGAATGGCTTGCATTCACATCATCTCTCGACGGGATCACACAGTGTTTCAACCATATAGAAAATCACTACAAAATGATATACTGCTGGCACGTGGCCCCTGGCCCCTGGCCCCAGTCTCCTTCAAGACCTTATAAAATGAACACAAAATATTCAGATAGGTGTTGGAGGGGTTGTGGAGGCCTTAGTACTCTTTCACGTATATGGTGGCACTGTGCAAAACGGCAGCCGTTCTTGCAGGGAATACATTGACTGATAAAAAAGATAGATCTGTCAATTATAACATTCTCTCCAGAGTCAAGTTTATTAAAAAATCTCCTTAAGACATCAAGTAAATTAGATAGAATCATGGTAATCTACATTCTTATTTCGGTCACGTCAATCATACATTGTTATTGGAAGTCTACTATTTTACCATTAATAAAGGAAGCCCTGGTTTTAGTGCTCAATAACAAAAGGTATGAACTGGTGTTGCGGCAACCCTTACCTCAAAAAGTAAATGTGCAGTTTCATTAATTTTTTTTTCACCTTCCCTTCTTATTTCTACCTCTTTCTATTATTAAATGTTGATTTATTTATGTACCAAATTAATGTGAAATATGTTTTTTTTTAAATACTGTTCAATAAAAATAGTTTGATTTAAAAAAAAAAAAAAAAGGTTAAATAGTCAACTGACAGAGACAGCATGTGTATAATTATACATATATACAGTGGTGTATCCTGGTTTTGTGCTGCCCATCCTTACCTTTGGGAATGCTGGGGGGGTTCTCCCTTTCCCTGGGGGTCCAGTGGTTGCTGGGCGGGTGGGCGGCACTGGTGAATGAGCACTTTCCGCTGAGCTGTCTGTTCAGCTCCCTTTGCCCTGGGCATTTGGGGGCGGCTTTTTTTAGTCGCCCCCTGGAAAATGCCGCACAAGGCAAATGCCTTGTTTGCCTCGCGGCTTAAACGTCCCTGTATATATATATATATATATAATTTTATTTTTTAAGTGCCAGCATATGGTGCATTTAGGATATATAACACCATTTTAGGGTGTAAGGAAACCAAGTATATTTAAACCTCATTCGGTAGTTTCCTCCCGAACCGCCAGAGCATTAGTGATTATAGCCCTCCGTTCGGTAGATAAAGTAGACAAACCATATAGTAATCCCAATAGCTTCACAAGATGATTCCCTTAGTGAAACACACAAATCCCCAAACATCAGCCAAAGTCAAGAAGAAGGGTACAAAATGAACTACAAAGAAAAAAGAAAAAAATCCTAAATAATGGAGATACTCCTGTGATACGGATTAAACTGGAATTCAAATAATGATGTTCTATAGAAAAATCTCCTTGTACCAGTCCCTAGAAACATCCAAGAATAAAAATAAAAATAATAGTGAACCAAGCCTTTCGTCTAAACCTCTCATAAAACCACTGTATTAATTAGTGACCCTCAGACTTCTGACTTTATTATTAACTTGATTTGTCACTGTCTGCATGGTCAGTATAAATCTAACCGAATATAATCTCTGGGTGGGCTTTCCAAATCTCTAATATAATGTCCTAAAGTGCTGGAAATGAATGAACCACTCTGGAATCCAAGTTCAATAACGCTAAGAGACCATTTGAACCTTGAGGTCTCGTTGCCCGTTGTACAGAATAATGATTTCACGTATAGCCAGCACATAGAGAACAGACTGTAAATGTGAACGAAGAATCAATCTTAGTTATTAATGTATTTCCTATATATGACTAATAGATACAGGATTGGAAAGAAATGAGAGTTAGAAAACGAAATAAATTAAATAGTGCTAATGTGCAGAACCATACTTAGAATGTTGGTTACCTGCACATAGTGAAAAGTGCCCAGTGTATAGAAGTGAAAAAAAGACAGAGAACCCGACGCACGTTTCGGTGCTTAAAGCATGCACCTTCTTCAGGGGTAATGTACAAAATGAACTAACTTTTAATGGGTGCACACAGGCTTTTATGCAAGTCCCCATGCAAGGGGACATCCCTCAAGGAGGGACAAACATTAACCAATCATGTACTGTAAAAACATAACACACACCCACAGTTCACTCCCCTAGCTCTGGAGATAATTAAGTCCGATAAAATAATAACTTAATTATCTCCACGAAGAAAAATCAAATTTTTTTCCCCAATAACTGGGACACCCCTTTATACTTGGTGTATCCCCACATATAACATGTCCCCTGATCTGGGTGACCAACATATCCGAATTTCACCCAGATCGGTTCAGGGGTTCGCAAAAACTATGGAGGTCTTCTGTGACTGGCTCACCCTGGGCTATATGCCCAAAACAGTTCCATGAGTTTGGTGGGTTTTGCCGGTCACTTTAGAAAGAGGAGAAAAGCGAACAAACTACCGAATGGATCTCCCTGGCTCTTAGCAGCGATTGTTCCCTTCTGTCGAATGCACCAAAGTACCGAATAGCGCTCTTCTAGCTATTCGGTAAGTAGAGTACCAGCGTTCGTCTGTTTGAGACCGGTGTTCGGGAAGTCGAGTGTCCGATTTCAGTTCCATACACTCGACGACCAAGTCCCGCTGCCTTTGTTCGCATGAACAAAGATGGCTGCGGTTTTCTCTGCCACGCGGCGTTTGGCAGTACGAACGCTGGTCGCACAGACAGAGGCATCAATTGAAGCAGTTTTTGATGTTTAACAAGCCAGGGGGGTGGTCTTTGTTCGGTAGTTACATCTAACGAATGCAATAGTCAGAAATAGTGTACTAAAAGGGGGATTTCTTCACATAGGGTAAAAGGCTATACTTCATTATGGGACTCATCAATAACCCAGTCAGGAAAGAAAACCTCTGACTAATTTGAGCCTGGTTGGCTAACCTGAAAGTCCAGCTATATTTACTTGCTTGGAGAAAGGTGGAAGCTTGGTTGCCCATCTCTCAGTCACATACACATGACAAGCTAATGCAAAACACAGTCTGATCAATCATCAGTGACGGATACTAAAAAACATCCTTTCGCATGTGCAGTAGGATGCAGCAATTGATGTGGGAATTGAATAAAAGGAGGATATTGGTGTCAGAGAACACCACGATGCTTAAAGGTGAAGTGTGAAGGTGAACATAGGAATGGCTAGTGCTGTCCGTGTGTACGAATGGTTTTTGCCCTTTTCGGGATTGCCCTTTCTTATCATATTGCGCTTGCACCGACCCATCAGATTGGGCTGTCTCAAAAAAACGTTCCAGGGAACAGGCAAACTTTCTTGCGTTCCACGTAACCGGAAGTGTCTCTTTTTTGCTTTGACAAGCATTTGTTTTTACTTTTATTATTTAATTTTTTTTGCCTTTGTTTTGACTTTATTTTTTCCTGTCTCTCTCTCCTTTGACACACAGAGGTAAGCCATGGATCATTGTATTTATAGACAGTATGTGTCATTTGTATGACTTGTGTTAATTACTTATGTTAATTAATTTTGATTACGTGAATTATTGGTTAATTTTGTTTGCACTGTTTGATATATATACACTCATGATAGAAACAGAAAAAATGGAAAGTGGCGCTAGAAATCCAATATGATGTACAGTGTGGAAAACACTATATAGTATATCTCTAAATACACCCAAGTGTAATGTCACAAAAAACGCTTACATAAACAAATGGGTACAAGAAAAATGGGGTGGTTTGCACACACAATGGCATGTAGTAGTTGCTGGTTTTATATCTGGAAAGTACAAGTGTAAAAAACTATCATAGGACAATATGCATATACAGAATTTAAACTTGAAACATTCACATTATGGAGAGGCATATAAGTCAGCTCTAAACTATGATGGCATATTCATACATCCAATGTGGATACTGCAAAAGAT